CACTAGACCTTTTCACCCTAAATTGAAACTTGTTCATGACAGAATAGTGCTTCATTGCACTAGCAATTGTTTGATTGTCGTTGTATACTTGGCCTACTTCAATAACAGTTGGTGTATTTTCTGTTATGATTGTACTTTCATATTCCACTATCGCCGGAGATGTTGGCATATCAATCAACTTCAGTGTTCCAGATGAACCTGCAATCAATTAAAGCTAAATACAATTATGATATATATTGTAGATATTTTGTAGTAAAATTGTAGAACAATAAAATTCAAGACTTACATATTCATAACAATTGATATACACATGTTATGTAGTTTTTATTTACAAATATTGTAGAAAAATTATAGAACAAATGAAATTCAATACTTATTTTGATCTACACATGTTATGTAGTTTTTTTGTAGAAATATTGTAGAAAAATTATAGAACACATGAGATATAAAAAAATTTCACCACTGGTATAACAGATCAAACCTGCAATTGCGTTCGAATTAAAGATACTGCATTCCAAATCGTAATCTCGCACTGTATACATAGCGGATACCTTCCTAAGCTTTTGTTTTCCTTTTTCGTCTCCATGTATACTCGAACTCCCATATCGTTCCTAATTGCCCTTGGCGGACAATGTTCGTTGACAATGTATTTGATTCGATTATTTTTTCTGATGTATCGATCATTAGATGCTCTGTGATTGTAGAAATCAATTGGCTATAACTTGCATCTTCGCTGACTACAATTCCGTCGATATGAAAATCTCTGTATCTCCCAAAGCTATCCCAATTACCATTTAGCTGAAGCATAATAGCTATTTTCGACATTATTGCGCGTGATTCAGTACAATTGTAGATAATTGATTCAATTTTGCTTGTGAAACCTGAATATACAGTGAAAACCAGAGTATTCGAAAAACAGAGTATCGAAATTGTGAGCGAAACAGAATAATTTCAGGCTTAATTAATGGCGATTAGTGCGTTACAAAAAATGTCGGTAGAATCCTTTACTATCCCAAATTCTCGCTCTTAAAAAAAGGAATGTCACAGCAGAAAGGATTCTTTTTTAAATGATTTGTATAGATTTTGTAGGAAAAACGTGTCCAGGGCGGGTAATATTGTTAACAAGGATATTTTTTGTAATAAAGTTTCATATAGTGCATAGGAATGAAGTTTTCCTATATTCAAATTATATTAGCCCAATAAATTTATTTAGATTAAAATATATTGAATTTAAAATATAGTGCAAATTATGTTATGGATTCCACAAATTATTTTTTACTTTGGTTTGAAATATGCCAATCCATCAAACCGGCTCTTGACCAAACCGAGAGAGAGAGAGAGATGAGAGGGTGGGAGGGCCATTGTTATGCATCGGCGATCTGCTCAGCGACGTCGGAGAAAGTGAAGCCGGCAGTGATAAGCTTCCACCGCGCCCCACCATAACACCTTCACCGGACTACAAATCCAGCCTCCAACCTTCCGATCTGAACAACCTTTTCCAGGTTCTCTTCCTATAGTTACACATATACAATTTTATTCTCGTTCTTATTATTAGTTGCTTCGTCCTATAATTTATCTTTTAGGACTAACTTTTTTCAAACTTCTTTGATGATAAGCTAGGTGAATGTGAACGAAAGAGTTCAAACCAAAATACTAACATAGTTAATTCTGCATTAGTTCCGAGTGATGTTAGGTCTTTTTAGACTACTCCCCCCTATGTAGTTTCAGACAATGATAAAATGTCCGATATCACTTTGGGTCCCCGATTAATCAGGATTCGCGCCAGAACTTCTATTAAAGGGGAAACGCTCCTGCCAGGATTTATTCCACAAAATTATTTTTAGTTAGTGCTATAATTTTGTACAAATGCTCTGGAAACTGATATTTATCTCTGAAGTTAGTTAAAAGCTTGCAGTAGACAATAGGAATTGCTGCGACAGGAATTCTGACACTACTGTTTGGGGAATATGAGGAGGTTGGAAACTGCATGCACCACATTATATTACAATCTGCGTGTTTGCGTTTTCTAATCTATTCAGAGTCAAAATTCTGATGTATGCGAAAGCAATGTGTTCGAAATCAGTTATTTTCTTACAGCTGCAATTAAGTTGATGGTTAAGGTCTACAAGTTCTCCTTCAAGCATTTGGTTCTTAATGATGAAAGTTAGGCTATGATGGGATGATAAACAGAAAAGAAATGCAAGGGAACTTTCTTTGATAAACATAAAATCCTCTCATGACCTTGCTAAAACCTACATTGCGAATATTACTAGCAATTGATTTTGATCAGCAAATGTGGTGAGACAATTGATCAGCAAATATTACTAGGATTTTTTGATAAAGATAAAAATCCTTGTAGGGGTAAGGTCTGCGTACACACTACCCTTCCCAAACCTCACTTCTGGAATTAAACTGGGTTTTTTGTTGTTGTGTGACACAGAGAACTATGTTTTCTTCACCTGTTTTCCTGCTTCAGCCTAGCTTAGGATAGTTCGCACCTCAATTGGGGAAGTTTAATATCACTGTATTCGGTGTTAGTTTGTTTTGGAAGGGAACAATCTGCTATTCTATGGTGTCTGTTAAAAGCACTACTTGATATAATGTGATGTCTAGGAGTTCGTTTTACTTACTGATTACACTGGTATTAATCTTCCTTTAGATCTTTTAGTTATATATCAACTTAATGTTTTGCTTATTGTTTAGAAAAACTATGAGCAGCTGAACAAAGCACTTGCTGGTACAGATAATTCATGGACGCATCTCACACTGGAGGTAATAAATGTTATATCATAGGAGAAGTTATAGAGGATACCTCGATAAGGAACAGAGTACCAAAAGATTGAGACACAATGTCTTTTATATGTTAATCTTCAGGATCTTAAATATTTTTATTCAACTTTATTTGGTGCTGCAGTAATATGTACCAATTGATCTAGTGACCTTATGATTTACAGCTGTGCATTTTTTCATGTTTGACTTGGAGTATTAATTTTGTATCGTATATAGTCTATGCTTCTATTATTACCAAAATAGGTAGACGGAGGATAAGCAGATGTAGTAATTGGTCTCACAATTCCCTTTTCACATCGGCTCATTTCCAGATTTCCCATTTTGATACCAAAATGGACTCTAAATCTGTTCTTATCCAATAAATAAAATAAAGAGAGAGAGAGAGAGAGAGAGGGAGGAGAGAGAGAGAGACTCTAAATCTGTTTCTGTGTATGTTTTCACTTTACTAAGAGATTTTGCTTCTTTATTGCATTCTAGCTATGCACTGCTCTGGAGACTGCAAACAAGTTGGTTCACTCGACCAATTCTAGTGTTGGCATGTTGAAGGATAAGGTTGAGGAGCTTTCAAAAGTCATTAGTAGAAGAGACTCAGCTATAGAAGCCGCAAAGGCCATTGAAGGCTCTCCAAAACAACCTGAGAGCACTTAGTGAAGATGTCTTATCATGATGATCAATTTCCAAGTTGAAGGTCAGCAGTCTTGTTTTAATCACTTCTAGCTTTTGCAAGGACATGCTTAGTTTGTTCTTGCCGTAAATATGCATGAATTAGAGATATTTGTACTGGCAAAACTTAAGTTGCACTTGCTGCGGCTGCTTCCTGGTCACCCCCTGATTAAAATTACTTGTCATTTATCCAGTGGCATCTGACTAGTTACTGCATTTCACTATGTAATCCTTTTATTGTAACCTTTGTTCTCATTATATGTAGTGTAGGTTGACTTATGGTTTAGCGGATGGATTTCCTTGTAAGAACCAAAGGTGGCAGTCTTTACTTGCTTTTCTCTATCATATACAAAGCTCTTTCCTCTCTTGTGAAGCCAACTGCAGTAGTTAACAAAGCATGTAGGAAGTGCTGGCCTTTGGTTTGACATACTGTAACAGAATCTTCCCTGATAATTTATTGGCAATGAAATATTGTTTTTTGATGTGCAAAAACCAGCACTAACATAATATTGGGAGAGTACAAAAGTTATGCTTGATCTTACATCTATTCCTGTATAAATGTTAGAAATTCAATCGATGAATCTACTTCATATATATTTTTGAGTTTGCACCACATAGCTAATTGGTACAAAGACCTATGCTTCAGGTTATGTACAGACTGAGCCTTCCCGTCAAGATATCATAGAATTCCTTCCTTCTTGAGAACCTGCAAAATAGTAGCGGTAAAGGGTTCCAGATCTTCTTTTCTCTGCTTAGAACTCCATCCAGTCCAGCACATCAGAAGTTACATTTACTGTCTGGGCATAGCTCAATCTACTCTAAGAACATTTACGAAAGACCCAATAATCGGGCTATTATGGGGTAGTGTAGAAGTAGAAAGATGTCCTATTATCTACTTCAAACAGGAAGTATTACCTGCAGAGTGATACCCTTTCATTGTAGTTTGTTTTGTGTCTACTAAAAACAAGCAACTGTAGTTGGTGCTTTTGTTTTCTGTTTCTTCTTCCATGTCATTGAATGTTGGATAGAGAGGAGATTACAGAAGCAAGATTCTATTGTGAAAATGCAATTTTTTGCCTTGACAATTGCACATTTAAATGTTCTGAAGAAATCTGGACTTCTTCTAATCTTCTGAGGACTTTTTCTGTGCAGTCCAACTCCCAATAAAATAATTTCTTATGACCATATTTTCCTGCCAGTGGAGTGTCATTGGCCCGCTGTATCTCAGAGTTAGCTGCAAAAGAGAATAATGCAGGAAATTGCTCTATAAAGGGGGCAATGTCTTGACATTCATCTGCCGGAAGGATATCGTCCTTCCATTCCAACTTTGAAGTGAGTCTTAGCACAAAACTCTTTCTATAAGTTTCTGATGCATCTCTAGACACCAATCCGATACGTGTAGCTACTTGGCCTGGTACACCAAGGGTTCTGGGTGCCAAGCTTTGCTTGGATATTTCTCCAAAGTGTAATCATTATTGCTGTATCTCCACAACCTTTTTTATAGAAGCGCTTACTAAGACCTCTCAGGATTAATTCAAGATTTATATCCTTTTTCCAGTGTCCCAGATGATTACTGATAATCTCTCCTCTCTTTATTGCCTTACCTAAACGAGAGAGGCAAGAAATGCCCCTAAGTTCCTCTGATGACAGTACAAATGAACTCTCTACAGCTATAAAGTCGCTGCACTGTTTTATGCACACGCAACAATGCAGTAGTCACTTCCTTGAGCATGCTTTGTACCGGATAAATGCATACATCATCCTAATGACCTCACTTGTATATTACCAACATGCAAGGGAAATCTCCACACTTGCATTACCTTAAACAATCAATTCTCTCTCAAGTGAGCTGAAAAACTTCAAGTCATTGAAGAACAAAGCAACAACTAAACCAAGGACCAGATCACAGTATCAAGTCTATCATATGTTCTTAGTATTGTTATGACTTTGTTAGTATCATTTATTTGTAACTCCTACCCCGCTTACTTAGAAGCATTTCTGTAGGAGATCTTTTGTAAAATTATAAACCATGTGTTTGTGTTTTGGCTAGAGTCACTCAAAGTGTGTGCTTTGCAATAGAGTTATTACAAAGAGGCTTGTAATTGCGTTGTTACAAGTAGGTGAATGATTAAGAGGTTAATTCCTATATTACAATAAGTTGTGATCTGAAAGTTGCTCAGTTAGTGAAGTTGAAATCCTACGAGGGTAGGTCGTGGTATTTAATCCCGTCAGCTGGGAGTTTTTCACGTAAAACTCTGCTGTGTCTTTTACTTACTGCTTTGTGTGTGTGTTCTGTGGAAACCGATAGAGAACCAGGTTCTCTATACAGTTTGGTGGATCCTAAGTTTACATCAATTGGTATCAGAGTAGGTTCTTTCTACAAGGCTAACACCTAGAAATGATCCACATGGATGCTCCACCAAACTTTAAGAAGTTCAATCAACCTACAGACAACCAAGATTCATTGGACAATATTACGGATTGTGGAAGACAAGAATACATGATTTCATCATGGCTGAGGATTCTGAGCTCTGGGATGTCATCTGCAATGGCCCCCTTCGTTCCGAAGACCATTGGGGCACCAGCAGTGACAGTTCCAAAAGCAAAGAAGGAGTAGAACGATACTGACTGCAAAGCTATAGAGAAAAGCTCCCGAGAAAAAAGATCCTCGTCTATGGTATTGGTCCGGACAAGTATAACAGAATCTCTGCCTGTTAATCTGTCAAAGGGATCTGGAGGCTCTCCAAACAGCATATGAAGGGACAACTCAAGTTAAGCAGTCAAAGATTGACGTGCTCACTACTGAGTATGAACTATTCAGGATGAAGGATGATGAGTCCATTCAGGACATGTATATTTGATTCACCTCCATCATCAGTGAGCTCCACTCTCTAGGAGAAATCATTCCAAGAAACAAAATTGTCAGAAAAATACTTAATGTATTACCTGGCTCTTGGGAAAGCAAAGTTAATGCCATCACAGAGGCAAAAAACCTTCAAAAGCTAAACATTGATGAACTCCTTAGTAATCTGAAGACTTATGAAATGAAGAAGAATAAGGACAATAAAACAAGAGAATCCAAAAAGAAAAAGAACCTGGTCCTCAAGGCAGACAACAATGACTCAAGTGGTGAGGATGCTGACATGGCCTACCTGACAAAGCGTTTTTAGAAAAATGGTGCACAAGAATGGAGGCATTCCAAAAAGGGGCAGCTCCAGCAAACCAAAAGGTTATGACTTGTGTCATAAATGTAGGAAACCAAGACATTTCATCAAAGATTTTCCTCTCCTTAAGCAAGACCAGTACAACCGCAACATAGACAGAACAACCAAGAGGAACCCCGTTCCTGACAAGAGATTCAAGAGAAAAGATGCTGATGATAATGTTGTGAAATAAGATCTTGCAGCATGGGGAGATTCCTTTAGTGAATCTGGGGAAGATGATGAACAAGGTGACACCTCCATGATGGAAATTGAAAGCCAAGCANCCGACCTAACTTTGGTCGGTTTTTGCAATTAAAATAAATAATAATTAATATTAAAAAAATCGACCAACTTTGGTTGGTAAATTCGGCCGGTCATTTTAAAAAACCGACCAACTTTGGTCGGTAATTTTATTTTTTAATAAAACCGACCAACTTTGGTTGGTAATTTTATTTTTTAATAAATCCGACCAACTTTGGTTGGTTATTTTCGTGCGAAAATACAATTAAAGAATATAAATAAAAAAAAGACAATCTTAAAACAAAATGCACCAATAGTCTAGTGGTAGAATAGTATCCTGCCACAATACACACCCCGGTTCGATTCCCAGACGGTGAATCTTTTGATTACATAATTAAATACCAACCAACTTTGGTCGGTTTTTTTTTTTTTGCAATATTTTTTTTTTGAATTTAATTTACCGACCAACGTTGGTCGGTAATTTCCGACCAACTTTGGTCGGTATACTAAAGCGACCACCAAAATACCGTCCAAGCGTATTTGGTCGCATTTTGGTCGGTAATTGGCCATAGCCGACCAAAGTTGGCCGGTTTTTTTGGTCGCTAATTACCGGATTTCTAGTAGTGACAAACCTACTGCCTGTATTCAGTTTTATATAACTGTTGTATTTAATGTGTTTCAATATTTATTTTTTACTGTTGTATTCATTAGATTCGATGTTTGTATTTACTGTATTCACTATTTTGTATTTAGTGTATTCAAATGTATTTGTATTAACAGTATTTTAGTTATTCCCAATACATGTCATTACTGCTGTATTCAGTATATTTTATTGGTTGTATTCACTGTATTTCTATTTGCATTCTGTGTATTTTACTGTATTTTAAAATTAAATGTACTCACTGTTTATATTCTGTTCTATTTCAATGTTTGTTTACAGTGTATTTCAATGTTTATATCATGTATTCATGCATATTATATGTACAGTATGCATGAATACATGTGTATACTGTACACCTTTATTCAGGCAAAAAAAAAAGTATTTTATACAAAAGAATAATGTATATAAGTTACTTTGTTCAGAATACAATTTGTATCATTGTATGTGGCTAAATAGCAAAGAAGAGAAGAAAGCTCATCGGAGATGGCGTTTTTCGGCCAAGCAAAATACTGTATACATTTATTAAAACTAAAAATGGAGACGGACCAAAACTCCGGCCCTCAAATCTTCTCCGTCGTAAAAAATATGAATCAAAAATTGGAAACTGGATTTAGAACCGAAATTAGATATACTCTTTTTATTGGGTTATTTTTGTTTTTCAAGAAGGGAAATCAAAAAGGAAAAAAAGGTATCTGAGAACTATAGGAATTTTCTCAAATTTTGCTCAAAACTTTATCCATGACTGTCCTTCTCTTTCCCTACTATCTATTCCTTGTTATTCTCTCTCTGTCTGTCGTTTTTATTACTTTATTTTCGTTCTTTTTCTTTGCCCGTTCTCGAAGAGAGAGAAGGAAAGAAAATTTTTGTTGAGATTTTGAGAGAGAATCGTGTGTTAATTGAAAGAAAAGGAGAGAAAAAACATAAATAGCGTATTTCAAGCCTCAATGGTAGTATATACCATAAATACCTATTTTGCTATAAAATATAAAAGATAGCTATAGAAAATAATATTTTAAAATGATTTTGATTTATAATAAATAAGGTGTATACCTTTGCTATTGAAGGTAAAATTTTCAATTTTTATTGAGTAAACAATTTTATTCCTTCCGAAGTAGTAACACATTCTTCAATCTACTAGGGTGAAAATTCAGGGGGATTTGCATCTATACCCGCTTTTTGGGTCACGTTTTAACTTCTGCCCGCTTTGCAAAAAAAATTGCAAGCGTACCCACTTTTTCGCGTAACTTCAGCATACTGGGCTGAAGTAGCAAAGGCAATCACGCAAAACTTCAGCATTCTAGTAGACGAGCATGAAGTAGCAAGTGTGCTGAACCAAGTGCGCTGAAGTTTTTGTTTGTAATTGCTGAACTTAAGCATAGTAGCTGAAGTTTTGTTCTCTATTTGCTGAAGTTTTTGTTTGTAATTGCCGAACTTAAGCATAGT